TATATATATATATATATACAATATATTTTTTAATAAAAAAATAATAGCAGTAAGTATAAGATGAAGGAAAAAAAAAAACTAAATGGCTCAGACCTCCATGGTGTAATTTAGGGACTCTGTGAACAAACATAGGAAAAAAAATCTTTTGTTCACTAATTTCTAAATGAAAGCATTCCCTGAGATTATGAATATAAATAACAAGAATACAAGTCTTAGCAGACTATATGTGTTTGTCCAAGAATATTTTCATATCACATGATGAGATTATAATAGATATTTCAAAATATAATTTAAGCTGATAATTCCATTGATCAGCATAATTGGTTACATTCTAAATCATTTTATTTGATATTTTAAAAAATACACCTCACATTACTGTCAAATTTTAATATTTGAATAAGTAAATCTTAATATAATAACTAAATTTTGTTAGAATAATCTGAATTTTACTTGATGCATTTTAAAATCTTGTTTTATGAAGGGATGCCATAGGTGTTACCGAGCCATCAATTGGTCCCTGACGCTGCAGAAGTTCCTTGCCACCACGTTCCTCACTCAGGGTCTTGGGCCTTCGGTATTGTCTAGATGTGAAACTTCATCTTGAGCACTTTGGAGCAACCAGAGCCAACTAACACCCATACACCCCCGTTAGTAACATGCAAAAATTCTAAAATATGGGGCAAATAGCACATTCATCTTTCTAGTTTTTCTGAATTGGTTAGAGGAGATTAACAAACTCCCCATCTTTTCAATAAAATGATTCCCAAGGTTGCCTTTCCATGTTCCTCTGGTTTCCTAGTTAGCCCATACCCTCATGTCTCTTATTTTGATAATCACAACATAAGCCAACTTGACAATTAAAAAGTGCCACACAACAACTGCTTACTGCTGAGGGTGCAAGCAGAATGGCTTCCTGCTGGATGAAAAAAGACATAGACTAGACATTCATTTCAAATATACTAATTTTTCAAATAACACTAAAAGTAAATATCCCTGTGTGGCACTATTATATAATTTCTTTATCCCAAATTTTAACCATCCAGTTTTTTAAACAATAACGTTGCAGCTCATTTTTTATGAGTTAATATTCAGCCAAGTGATATATAATAACCACTATGTGCACAAACAACAAAAATCAAAGTACATCCTTCCACAAACTTAAAATGTGTGAAAAACTAATCATAGAGACGTAAGGAAAAGGATGGCTAATCATAACTTGGATGGCTCTGTTGGTGGATTAGAAAGCAAGAGCTCTGATGCTGAAGGGAACAGAATGACCAACTTGCAAGAGTTTGCTGAACAAGAGGAAGCCTTAACCCTGACGTGAAATTACCCATGGACAGAAGATCACAACACAATTCAAAATTTTTGAAAATTCATTTATTTTCTTTTTCTCTGGAGTAAATTGTGGTTATATACATTAGGCAAGAGTACAGTAATAAGTTTTATATATTCCAAAGCACACCTTTGTGAAATTATTTTTTACATCCAAACTTCTCTTCAGTTTTGCCTGCTTACATCTCACCCTGTTCTCTCACGCTAATGAGTTCCTCAAGCCCCTCTTCTCTCTTTCAAGTAGGATGACTTTTCCATCTTCCTCTCCATGAGGCTACTGTTCCTAATAATTTATGTCACTTTTGTCATCATCTTCTGTTGCCTCAGATCTTCTATGCTCATCTTTCTTAGATTTGCCCTTTCTTCTCCTTATATCAGCATGTTGTTTCCTCTGCCTAAGAAATGAGCAGATGTTCTTTCCAGATTCTTTCTTGAGGAGTTCAAGACCAGGAGCTGTCATGGCAAGCCTTCTGTTGTATCTTCAGCAAGTGAGTGGGGCCCATTCCACAATTACACACATAAACATGGACACATAAACATACTTCAGCCTAGACTTAGTTCATCTCTAGTAAATGTCATCTGAGTAACCATCTGTACTACACTAATCACACAGGAACATGAAGTAACCCAAAGATTTTCTTTTCTACACTACTGCCTATCCCTTAGGGCAAATATTTAAACTTTAAGATTCACAGAAAAAAAATAAAACAAAATGAATAAAATATTTTAGCCATACTGGGAATGATCTAATAATCATTTATAGTTAGGATCTTGCCCTACAAATTTACAGAGAGCTTCTCCATGTCAGTGAAATGAAATCATGCAGGCTAATGCTTCTGTTGGTCAAATCGATGCTTAACACCTGTTGGGAAACAATGGAAGAGTGATGGGCATTTGCTATTTGAACTTTCCTGCACACAAACAAGTCAGGTGGCTCTCACCTGCAACACACAACCACTGAAGAGCAACAAATTGGAGAAGATGCCCTCTTTCCACTCTTCTCAAGTGCTGACTTTCCTCGGAGCTCTCCTATTTTCACTTTTCCTATTCCTGCACAGCACAGGAATTTAATATTCCTGCATTTTTATAGGCAAACACTTCCCAGAAGTTCTCACCACTTTTGCCCAGGTTAGATCACAGGTCAGTCTGTGAGTCATCTCACAACAAAACTGGGCAAAGTGTTTTAATTAAGAATTCTCGGTGAAGTTGGTGACACTGGGTGCCAAGAAACCCACAGTAGGAGCAAACAAACACAAGTGCAAAACTAAGAGCAACTTTCAATTTAGGTCTAGAAATCGGAAAGGATTGTGTTCAGAAATAGTAAGAAGTAAACCCCCACAAGAAAGAATGGTCTCATTTACCATCAGGATGATTGGTGTTATCACCAAAGTACAAGTTTTTCTCATATCTAACATGCATAAAATTTGAATGTGTCTTGTAACCAACAGCATTGGAACTACCATGAGCAATGCTAATGATGCTATCTTTGTCTATGAAGTGTGAACTTCATTGCTATTATTGGCATTATAAGTGGATCGACTACAAATCATTTAAAGATTATTTTAGGGTGCATGCCTGTAATCCCAGCACTCATAAGGCCAAGGCAGGAGGAGCACCCCAAATTTGAGGCCAGCCTGGACTACACAGTAAGTTCAAGGCCAGCCTGAACTATGTAGTAAACCCTGTCTCAAAAAAACCAAAACAAGAGCAAGATTACTTTAGGAAAAAAATGTGTAGTAAAGAAAGCACTCAAATAGAAAGTTGTATAAAGCACTTTAGTGGCTTTGGAGAATATTGCATATGGAAAATAGTAGAAAAATTTTTATGAAATGTAAAGTCAATACTCTTGGTAGTAGTAATACTTAACCAATTTGTATCACATATTTTTCTTTCAAATAATAAAACATTTGATTATAAAATAATAAAGATATTAAAATGCAAATTTAAATAAGATAAAATATTTACTACAAATTGGTTAAGGTATTTTTTAAAAAGTCGAGTTACAGGAAAATATTATCTCATGATTTTGTCATCCTTTTTCACAGCAACCATTTCTAGCTGATGGTATCTTACATCATGATGAAAGATAATAGTTCAAGCTGTTTGGAAAGGTGGTCTCTAAGATGAGAGAATAAATATAGAGCTTCATATAGGTTTACAGACAAGAAAACCAATGTGGAAAATAAGAATGCAGACCTTCAGCTACTACAAATGTTGATAAATCGCAAGTTTCCCCCTCATCTCCATACTGTACACGGCTGACTGAAAGTGGAGAGTACTGGAGGGTTTTGCAGGAGAGGGCATTACTTGGAAAGGAAACAGGGATTGCACAGGGCTTATCAGATGGGGATCGACTCTAGTCTTTCTCTGGTCACAAACCTGTTTTGTAGAGTTGTAGGTGGCAGGGACCATCATATCCATGTTGCTCACAGAGATGGTCACGTTGCTAGTGGAGACACTGTCCACTCCCCAGATTTCAATGTAGCCCAGTTTCAAAGGGTTTGAAGCAACAATGTATTTGTTAAAAATTATATGGTTCTGCATTGTATTCTGTCAAATTGAAAATAAAACACAAAGAAAAAGTAACAAAATGAGTTCAATGTTCCCCAACACCTTCTTAGGTACAAATATGGATCCTGAAGTGAGTTGTGTCTCTGGAGAGTGAAACCATGATTTCAGCATCCTATCCTGCTATCGATTGCCACTACTCTGCACTGCCATCTACAGGTTCTCTAGCATTGCTTTCAACTCTATAAAAGACAGGGTCTCCACTGATGTTCCACACGTAGGGGAGTCACAAAACATTCAGACCATTTCAAGGCAAGGTAAAAACATGGCTAGACAAAATAGACACAGTCTACCCATCTGTGAAATGGTGAACTGAAATAAGTTACTGGCAAGACATGAACAGGTTCAATTCTCACAGCTTTCCTGGGAACCAGACAAAGTCTACATCTGAAATCTGAAGGAAGGGAAGAATGTGAATTAGCACTGTGAGCAGCACAAGAATCTTAGACAGTATTTTGTGCCCATATGACAACAACATCTACTAAGTCAATATAACTGCACTCCCTTCTTTGCCAGTCATACTCACCTGGCTGACAGAAAACCTGGCCAAATAATAGTGTCCTTTTCCATAAGAATCTGCAAACAGACAATAAGGTAAATATTAACTGGACCTGCATGAGAGAAGTCTAATCACCTACTGACTTTCATTGAGAGGGATTATTTTTGTTTGTATGTTTGAGTTTTCTTCTTTGTCTAGTTCCATTTTATAACCTAAATCTTCTTTATGAAGTGCAGTCAGAAAGGAGATTTGGGTGTGTGTGTGTGTGTGTGTGTGTGCAGTACCAGGGATTGAACTCGGGCCCTTGTGCTTGCAAGTCAGGCAGCAGAACCACTGAGCCAAATTCCAGCCCATGAAGTGTAGTCAGACTTTGCACCCAATCACAGCTAACATAAAATGTTTGAAATAAGTTCATAGATACTCATTTCCAATATAGTAATCTTGTATAATAGTTTCCTAAATCCACTCATAAGTCATTTTTCTTCCTTGAGACCTGCCCCTCCAAACATACTTCTAGTCACTTCTGAATTGTAGTTTCCTTTTGTTAGATGTACATGTGTATACACATGAGGTCACATACACATTCATAAATACCGAGACAAGGCTTCAGTGGGTTTAAGAATTATTAGGAAGTTTTTAAATGTGGTCACTGGAGATTCTAGACTAGCCCTCTTTTTCCTTTATATTTAATATTTTGCTGCACCCTGGGAGAGTATGAAGGATTTGTGTCTCAGGTACCCCCATCCTACTCCCTCTCACGTGGCTTTCTCACCCTTCCCATATGCTGGTCTCTCTCACTCACTAATCTCTCCATCAGCAGCCAGTAGCTATCCTCTAGAACTGCACTGTCCAAGTCAAAAGCCATCAGAAAAATGTAGCTATGTAATTTTAAATTAATTAAAATTAAAATTCGGTCTCTCAGATACACTTGTCACATTCAAGTGCTTGATAGTCACCTATGCGTAGCACTAGATTAGACAGCAGAAGAGAAAAAACATTTCCACCATTGCAGAAAGTTCTACTGGACAGCACTGATCTAAAAATAGCTAATGACCCCTGCATCATCTCCCTAAGAAGTTACTAATTCCTGTAAACTCCTAATGGAAAATTCCCTCATAAATAACACAACTGATACAGACATTGTCTTGCTGACAGTAAACCATATAATTAGGGAATGTGCCTTGGACTATCAGCCATATAAAAATTTATCTCAGCTGGCCACAAATAAACTGATGTCTGCCAAAATGGATTAGGACACTTGAGTACTGGTGAGAATTTCAGCACTAAAAATAATTTACCTAAATCATAAGGATTATGTATAGAATGAATTGCACACTTGAAGTAACAAATGACTGTATTTTAAAATTCAAAAACATTTTAACATGGAAAAGGAAAAATAGGCATGTAAGGCATTCAAACACCAAGCCAGCAGCACTGGCAAGAACTCCAGGTGGCTCCTACTCACCAATGCTCTGCCCATCATCCCAGAAAAGCCATCCTTCAGCAGTTCTCGCATCATCTAAGGCCACCTTGAAGCCCATGAAGTTCTGACGGCTGCAGAGAGGTGAAAGAGAGGCATTAGCCATAATCAAAACCATAGTCACAGCCAAGAATTTTCATAAAATCAAAGGAACAAAATAAAGTGTGAGGGAAAGGGGATGAAAATAAGATCTTTATGTACATGCATTGACTTCTCATGCTAAATGTAATCGTTATGCACTGCAAACTTGTATTACTAAAAAAATGGAATTTTAAAAAGTGAGTATTAAGATTCAAGAGACTAGGGGTCTTGCTCTACTTCAGTGTCCATGTGCCTGGATGGCTTCATGTCATGAATAAATTAACTTATGAATGAATCAAGAGGGATTTCCTATAAGGTTCTTGAAGAAACTAAGAGCAAAATAACTGAGTTCCTTCCTTCCTCTTAGTGAGAAAAATTCAGATGGTATGCTTTTTTCATGACCCATTTTCTAAAACATTACAGTAAATTCTATTCAGAAATATCCTAAATCTCTTTAGGTTTGAATTCTTGGAATCAAATGAACAAGAGTTTAAGTACTTTGTCAGTGATATTAAACAGACATTTAATTTAGCCCCTGTTCATCTTCTTACTAGCTGTGTGACCCTAAATTTATCACTTAGCCTATTAAAGCTTCTCTCTGCTCATCTGAAAAATGGAAATAACACTATATATCTCATAGAATGTTTTTCTTTTGTTAAAAAAAAACAGAATATCTCCAAACTGACTTCCTCATTTTGGTCTAGTTCTAGACACAGAGAAAGCATTCATCCATGTTAGTTGTGCCAATTATTATATAGATCTAGGCCAAGTATTTTTTAAATGCTTTACAAAAGGAATCTCAGCCTCAGCTATCAATTGTAGTATGGCTTAAATAACTTTTCAGCAACTACTTTCTTAGGAAAGAGTCAAATAAAATGCAGTCATAAAACTAGCATGAATTACAACTGCTCCTACTTTGACTTCTATTTCAAATGTCACTTATTAGACCTATCAGCCCACCACTTAGATATAAAATAGCTGTTAAAAATTGCTCAAAGAATGCAGAGTTTGCAAAATATTAAAACAAACAAATAAATATAAAAGTTTAGAAAATTGCTCTTTGCCTTAAGAGTGATGCCTGAAGCATTGGTGGCATTCATTACAAATTACTGAGCAAACCAGTACTCAAAGCAGAGCCCTGGTCCTTCATTCACCTTAAATTGGTGTTCAGCGCAGGATCCTGCAAGGGCAGGATGTAGCCCCCACGGACATGAAGATTAATGTGGTCCAGAGGGGCTGGCAAGTTCTTCAACTGTCCCCTTACATTAATGTCCTCACCCTGTAGGCAGAAGAAAAGGAGGGGATGAGGGGCACAACACACACCTCCCTCATCAGTGCATTTGGCAGACATCTTGTATACCTCTCTGATCTTGCTTCCTGTTCTTCACCCTTCAGCACACACCTATTAAGAAACTTTCTGCATTCATCCCACTGCTATGTGATATCTGGTTGTTTCTGTAATGGATTTTGAGGGTCCCTTGCCTTTTGAGGGATTCTGTAGCACAAACCACATCAGGTAGTAGGATAAATCACAGCCCTCTTTAACTGCACAGCATGTTTCTATTTCACAGGGCACTGCTAGAGGAGGTTGGACAATTCTTCACTCACTTACTGTTAGCACCTGATGAGCTCTCAAGCTCTCCACAATGGAAATTCTAAACTTTCTTTCAACGAGGTTTACTAAATCTCCATCTCCACTGACTTAACACCTTTGATTTGTTCTTCAGAGAAAACATTACAATGTGCTCACTTACTTTACATATCTTTAAGTTACTATATATACCTTTATGTTTGACATGTTTATCTTGTTTCATCTTTGACAACCTTTATCTTGTATCTTTGTGAGAGGTACTTTGTCACCTGAGGCATAAACCTCAAATCCTGAGCAACCATTCTCACACATATTATCAACTACAGTTGAGCCTGGCAGTGTTGGAACTACTTGTTTGGAGCTAAACAATTCTTGTTGTGTCTGTCCTGTACTTTTATGATATTTAGCAACATGTTCAGTGTCTACCTATTAGATGCCACTAGCAATCCCTCCCCTACCATATCATAACTACCAAAAATGTCTCCATACATTGCCAAATGTTCCCTTGTAACAAAACATTTTAGAGGTAAGGAGCAGTTATTATTGACAACAAGTAAATGAATGTATTGGTGTGTTCTAATAAAACTTTATTTACAAAAACAGGTGACAGCCAGCCTGGTTTGTGAGCCATTGTTTATTAATCTCTACTTGATCACAAATACTAGGTCCTCATAACTTTTAAAGATTAATACAGGATACATTTCTTCATTAATCCCAATCATATAATCTTGATCTTAACTAAACAATAAAATTGTATTTTCTCTACATGGATTCCCCATCAACTTTTGTCCTTCCACATGATTACTTTTACCTCTCCTTCTTTAACTACACCTATCTTCTATAAGATCCTCTATGACATTGACCTTCCAGGAATCTTTCCTTTATTAACCCTAATACTTCACTTTATTTCATGTGGTATATATAGTTATTCACATATCTAATTAGTGTTTGTGTGAAGCGAATATTAGCTCTTCATTGCATGGTAAAGTCCATAAGGAAATATTTCTAGTGCCAATACTTGGAGCTCCAGAAAGTGGCTTGAAACTAGAATGAATCTAGCAAGACGCCAAGGTTTTAAAATAAATAAAGCCCTCTCGCAAATTTGGGTCAGCCTTGTGATGCAGTACCTCCTTAAACTATGTGTGCTGGGTCCTTCACAAGCTTAATCCTAGTTAATTTATGCACAAAAAGAGCTTCAAATTCAAAAGGAGTCACTGATAGTGAACAAGAGAAGCAAGATGCAGAATCACCATGGCTAAAGTCACATAGAGGATGTTGGCTGATCTCTGCCCAGAAAGCCCTGGCAGGAAAGTACATAGAAAGTCCTAACATATTTGTCATCTTAGGAGCAGATGCAGCTCAGCAATAAAGAAAGTTAAACTGTAGAGATTCATGGCTCCACAGGATAGAGAAGAGGAGCAACTCCACTTCTGTGTTCTCACCCAGTTCTCACCAAATCACACTGCAGCCCCCTTGGATGACAGGGGCAGACACGGGCTTGAGTTCTTCTTTTGGCTGCTGTAATTCCAGTCCTCCAGTTCCTTCTCCTCACAAATTAGGAATAAGGTGGCCTACTTAAAAGGCAAGGACTTTTCCCCAAGAATTGCACTGTGACACAAGGGTGTTCTTCCAGAGACCACCACTGAAGGTGCTTCGTGTGATCCAATTCCCACAGCTGGTTCTGTGGTTCTGTGGTTCTGTGTTTACACTAGCTCAGAACCTACACAGAACTCCTGTGGGTTTGTCACATGTAATGTACTTGCAATGCTTAGAATTGCAAATGTCAAACCCATAAGTGCATTTTTACACTGCCATTGTCATTGTATGGAACAACTCTTCTTTAAGCATCGATGCTATAGAAACAGACATTTAATTTTAAAAGTCTCTGTACTTAGAAACTTAAAGGAAGAGAGGGTATGCAAACATTATAGTTCATGCACCATGTCAAAAGTTCACAGCTGTCTTTATACACCATTGTGAATAATGATGGTATAAGGAATGATATAAACTCAAGTCAACCCACACAAAGCCAGGTTCTGAGTGAGAGGCTTTATGCTTATCTTACAACATTTCTATGGAGGGGTGGTCGGACTTCATTTGTGGATGAGAAAACTAAGGCTACAAGGTTTAAAGTGGCTATTAAGACCCCACAGCAGGTGGCTTCCAGAGCCAGAATTTGGTGTGAGGACTGTCATATCTAAAGATTTTGTTCTTCACCAGTTTCCCAGGTATATAAATATTTAGAGGGGGTGAAGGGAGGGCAGGGACAAGGGGAAGAAGTGAGAACCAAGACCTGTCATGTAAGGGTACAAGATCCCAATGATGAATGTAACTGCATTGTATACCTAAAAATGTACCGATAAACTCAATAAATAAATAAATATTTAGAAAACTTACTGTGTAGTAATCATACCAGCGGGCTCCAGGGAAATATGCATTAACATTTCTGGCATTCTGAAATTAATCACAAACAAGGAAAGGGTGATGAGCAGTATGTTCTAGGACACTATAACAAGCTTGCATAAAAAGGTGTTAAAACAATGCTGGTGACCTTGTACCCACTTGCCTCACTATATGGAGATTAGCAACGCTGGGAAAGCCTTCTTATCCTTCTCCTTTTTCACATAGGAGAAATTTCCCTGCCCAAAACAACCCAAGATATCAGGAGTACAGAAAAATCACCATGTGCTTATAAATTAAACCCCTTCCACCTATAGAGACACACTTGTGCTTGAGTTTGGAGCAGAAGATTGTGTAGATACAGTAATATCTGAAGGGAGTGTCATGAGCTGGTATTATAATCATGTGACTTGTCATCTGCAGAGGAAATAAAGAAATGGCTGTTGCTTCCTGGAGCACCTTATGGAAGGGAAGCACCCAGCACCTGGATGGCACACGCTGCTGTAGGCAGCTCTCTTGGAAGGTTCTGTTTTAAGGTTGACAGTATTGTAATATACAGTTTACACTACAGACCTATATTCCTTATTTTAGTTAATGTATTGATATAATCTTGAACATATGATAAAGTTTTTTTGTTCTTGATGGTGGTATGAACCATAACTACTAGGCTGACTCTCTTAATATGGAGGTGGGGCAAGATACCTTAGCAATGGACTTCTGCTCAGAAGAAGAGGAAAAGGCAAAAGTGGAATAAGGAACTCTCTCAGAATACATGCACATGTACCAGGCTTCCTATCCCTTTTCATACTATTCACCCAGCCTCACAACTGGAGTGCAGAGGCCTTGCAATAGTTTAGATCTAGAATGTCCTCCAAAAAGCTCAGGTGTTTAGATGTGGGCATTTGGAAGGTGACTGGATCATGGGAGTGCCATACACATCAAGGGGTTAATCCACTGATGAATCCTTAGCTAAAGGTTTTGGTTTTAAAAGGTAGGTCATTGAGGCTGTGACCTGGCAGGGTGTATTTCCTTCCCTGACTCCTCCCTTCACTCCTTGCTTCCTAGCCTTGATGACCTGAGCAGCTCTACTGCATCACGACCTTTATGCCACTTAGGCATTAGAGCCAGCTGATCATGCATGGATTGAGACCTCTAAAATTATGAGCCAAAATAAACCTTTCCTCTCTAAGTTGTGGGTATTGGGTATTGTCCCTCAGCAAAGAGGAAAATAACTAAGCCATGCATCCCTACTCACAGGCTCTAGGACAGGGCTGACCAGCAAGGCAGGACCCAGAAGGAACTGACTGTCTACATCCCAGGTCTCCCGGTCTGACACAAACCTGGAAGGAAAAAAAGGTGACATGGTCAAAACCATAGCAAGGCTCAGCCCAAAGCTCTAAAGAAATTAATTCCCAAATGTTCAGATCAAGTTGGAAATCAGGCTGCATTCTTTGCCATTCTCTTTCCCATACTTCAACAGGAACATCCATCCCCCAGTCTCAACAGGTCAAGTTACTCTAAATTCAAAAATGATTTAGGTATGTTCTCTGCTATGAAACATCTCCACATGTCTAAATCATGGCACATTTTCAATGTAATATTGGCACTCATTCCACAAAGCTCCTCCAGGAACGTGATTCCTAGTAACTAGAACTCATATTTGCTTGAGTCTACATTAAGGAAACTGTTAACCAAAGTCAGAGAAACTTTGCATAGTCAAATGTGAAAAAACATTATGCTGTCTGTGCTGTGTCTTCAAAAGCAATTTTGTATTCAATAAATAGCTTTTCATCAATGATTTAAAGCATGCATAACAGTGTACTAAAAGGAGTAGTAAACTATGGTTCCTGCCTTGAAAGAACTTCTCACAAAACAAAATCATGTCTTCAATTTAAAACAATTGTCTGCATCCACTGTCACCCTACAGAAAAACAAATAACTTATACATTAATATACAGGGTCCCATCTGGACACTCACTCATGGAGAAGAGGCCTCACGACAGTGCTGCCCTCCGTGTGGGCCTTGTGCATCAAGGTATACAGGTACGGTAACAGGGTGTATCTGGTCTCCAACACACTTTTGGAAATATTCACAAAGGCAGCATCCCAGGATACAGGGTCTTGTCTCTAAAGGAGGAACAAAAGTGTTCAGAGCCAATCCAGTGAGTGGGGGAGACTTCAGGAGGTCACTGAAAGTTTATTCAAAATGAATCACACAGCTAAACTAAGGATTATCATGGATGAGACTCCCAGAATATTCACAATAAACTGGAAGTTGCTAAAATTTTACAAAGAAAAGCACATATAATTTTCTCATAAGATATTCTTTTTGGGATATATTTGGAACAATTCTTCAAAAAGAACCATCTAAATAATACTGAGGAATAGAATTGATTGAAATGAGAGATTAATGAAGATAACCCCAGCAAATACAGAAAGCAACTTTTTTGGATATTCACAAAGGCAGCATCCCAGGATACAGGGTCTTGTCTCTAAAGGAGGAACAAAAGTGTTCAGAGCCAATCCAGTGAGTGGGGGAGACTTCAGGAGGTCACTGAAAGTTTATTCAAAATGAATCACACAGCTAAACTAAGGATTATCATGGATGAGACTCCCAGAATATTCACAATAAACTGGAAGTTGCTAAAATTTTACAAAGAAAAGCACATATAATTTTCTCATAAGATATTCTTTTTGGGATATATTTGGAACAATTCTTCAAAAAGAACCATCTAAATAATACTGAGGAATAGAATTGATTGAAATGAGAGATTAATGAAGATAACCCCAGCAAATACAGAAAGCATTAATAGTTGCTCAGAGATACAGGATGCATTTCAAGTAACACTGGACATGTGAAGCCACTTTCAGGTCCTACCCTGGTGCCGATGCCATTGTGGTTCCTGGAGAAGGGATAAAAGGCCCCCAGTTGCATCCAGCGAGCACACATCTCATATTCGGCATTTTGAAAGAACCCACAGATGTCTGCCCCGGTCTGAAACAAGATAAAAAACAGACAGGCTCTTGGTGATTTCTGAAGATGCCACCATCTTGGAAGCAATCAGGAGGGATCGGAAAGCCACTTACATAGGATATGCCAAACAGGCTGAACTCCATCATGCCTGCAATGAGAACCACACCTGTGTCAGGACGCATCAGAACATGCCTTCGCCTGCTCCTGCTCCTGTTTCTCCTCCTCCTCCTCCTTCTCCTCTTCCAGCTCCTCCTCCTCTTCCTCTTCCTCCTCCTCCTCCTCCTTCTCCTCAACCAGCTCCTCTTCCTCCTCCCTCACCAAGGAGGTCACCTCCTTCCCTGCCAGCACAGACCCTGGGAACAGGCCCATGTACCGATGATAGATTTCTTCAGCTGGTCCCATGCAGCCGTGTTGTCTCCCAGCCAGTGTCCTGCCCAGCGGCCAGAAGAGGGGAATGTGGAGCGGGTGATGACAATTCCTCGCTGTCCTGTCACTTCCTGCACAGCTCTGATTGAAGGGGAATAAGAAGGTGAAATGAAGCCACAGCAGAAAAACAAAGGTCATACAGATTCATCCCCTAGTTCCCTTAAGCCTAGGGCATGGTGTTGGCTGCATGCCTGAGAGAATTTAGATAACTGAGCCACTGTCCTGCTCTTATCTATCTCTTATGATCTCTTATCTAACTCTTATGATAGATCTTATCTATATCTTATGCTTTTAAGAGCAGTTTCATAGTGTTTTACAAAGAATCTTATCATGTAGAAAACTTTAAATTGTCACAAAATAGTAAGCAAGCATCTTGCTATTTATTTATTCATCATTTAATTTTTTTAATATTTGCTGCTGGATATTATAAATTACTTCTTAATGTTTTCCTTAGAATGATTTTTACTCTTTGAACTCACAAAGTAGAACTTTGCTTATTCAACAGTATATTTAATGACATCCAGCCAAAATGTGAGAGAGAAATCCAACAGAGATTGTTTATTTTTGGAATAAAGGAGAGAGGTACCCCATCGAGACTATGAGTTTCTCACTGGTGGGATTATACCTTACTTAAGTCTTTCCTCCTGATTATAAACGGAGGGTCTGGCTCCATACTCAAGAAGTGTGTCTTTAACAAGTAGAATTATATGTAATTCTAAATGAATTCTTCTTAATGCTTAGAATGATGAATAAAAACAAAGTAGGGACTGTGCCCCTCACTGGGTGTCCCCACAGGTGCTACCAACTGAAAAATGGAGAGGACAACTCACTCATAGGTGGGCCTGGTCTGGGACCATCCATACAGGCTGTGCACGTCGTAGTGACGCACTCTGGAGCCATCTGGGAGGATCTGCTCACTCTCCATACACAGGGTCTTGCTGCTTAGGCCCTTGTTCCTATCCACCAAATCTGTGGGGGAAAAAATAACTTACAAATGTGAAAAACAGCCCTGTTGCTTTTAGTTCCTGACTGCTTTTTTAAGGGTCTGAATTATGGATCTTAAAACTAATTCCCATGGGTCATTCTACCACTTCCCAGAAGTAGAATAGTATTTGGCTCTGAGCTCTAGTGGTAGCTGCATTATGGTTTTCAATGTCAACTCCAATGAAGAAAGCAGAAATAGAGGTGGGGGTAGAACACAGGGTTGTCAAATACTTACTATAGTTACAGGCTCTGATGTAAGCTATTAACTTGTAAATTATTTCATATAATTCTTATAATTTTGTGAACAGGATAGGATTATCTGCTTATTACAGTTTAGAATAGTGAGATTTGGAAGTATTTTGAAACCTATCACAAGTCACATAACTCAGAGAAATAGTAATTTGGGGATCCAAGATGTTTAACTTCAAAGTTCATGGGCTACAAGATGCAGAGAAGCTGCTCCTTTATAGTCCTCTTTAGTGACATAAAAATTCTTGTAGGTAAATTAAGCCAGAAAAACTGTGAAATATAATTGTAGGAATTCTTTGAAGATATCAAAATGCTTAACTGTTTTCTATCCAAAATGGAGAAATTCACCACAAGGAATGTAATAACATGCACTCACTCAGTTGGGTAAAGTGCTGAAAGTGGATTGGTCTCTGGGCCAATCAGGGCATGTCCTGAGTGGTCAGAATAAACCCCTAAATTCTGGGTGCTTCTGGGGTTCACCCTATTTCTATCCACAGCTAGGGGAGGCTGAGGGTCCTTACATGGCATGTAGGGAGGATGGTTCAGAGTTGTATCTGTGCATCCTGAAGGGACAGCCCCGTTCACAAAGCTCGATGGTTCATTCATATCCTAGATATGTCAAACACAAACATCACTTAATTTTAAATATAATTATGTTCTGTCCATTCAGAGACAAAGATGTGATAAATATGATTCAAGGGCCAGGGATATAGCTTAGTGGTTCTGCCGCCTGCCTTGCAAGTGCAAGGAACGGAGTTTGATCCCCAGTACCAAAAAAAAAAAAAAAATTCAACATCTAGTAATCTCTAATGGATGATTGCCCAGGGAGACTCAGCATATCCTAGTGAGAAATGCTCAAAAGTTCTTTTAACCCCTACAGGATAATTGGCCAAAGGGTCATGTCCCTCAGGGCAAACAAAGTTCTAAGGATTTCCTAGTAATGGCCCAGGATGTTTTACAGCAGAAAGTTCAGGTGAGATACAAGGTTTGAGGTGTATATTGAATCTGTTCCATGTCCAACTGGGCAAGTATATTCAGATATGTTCAAAGTCTTTATTGGATGGCAATTATCTTCTAAAGGACAGTGATCCACATGCTAAGACAAAAGATAGGCACACCTATCTGCACGTGTATACACATGTACTTACACACATACCCACACACACAAATACTTACAATCCACATGCCATCAAATTTCAAGCTCTTCGCTGGATTCTGTGGATTGGTGTAGAGCTCTTGTATTTCTCTCTTCCACCACAGGACAGTTGAGTTGCGGAAAAAGTCTGGGAAGGCCGTATAAGCTCGGTATTGCTATAAAAACAAAAATGTAACTCATTTGTGACAAATGAATGTGTTAAACAGAAAAAAAAAAACACTTACTAAGAACTCAACTCATGCAAAAACTTTACTACCTGGTAGTAGACAGTGAGGCTGACTAGAGCCTGCATGGTGTTCTTGAGTGCAATGAAGAAGAACAAGCACAAATCATACACTTTAGAGTATGGAAAACACCCAGAATGTTTTCCTCTGCATCTTAATGAGAACAGCAACAACAATCTGAACTCAAAAATCTAATGCTTTGGATACTCAACTGTTGACTTCTATACTGATTTTCCTAGCCTCTGCTCAAAGACAAGGCAAGAGGCAGAAGGATGATAACAAGAAAGAGTAAATATGAGATGTACTATACCAAGTTAGAGAGAAACATTCACTAGGTATGACACGACAGGATAAAATTTCATGTCATGATATTAGACTACTATGTTTGCTTCTCTGTTTCCTATAGTTTTAGAATCACATGAAAAGTGTAGCTGTGCGTAATGTGAAGTGGGAGGACCTAAGGAGGAAGTTTCAACCTCCCTCTCTCTTCATGTTCCCTCAAATGATGAGTAATGCATTTATTGTACCATAAAATGTAGGTCCACAATATCACTCTGTATTTATACCATGAGCTTTTGGAGAACAAAGACGTTATCTTGTATTTTTCTGATTAATATTTTTATTCCTTGGAGTGCTTAGCTAAGTGCTTAGCTGATGTAATAATGAACAAAAATAATAATAAATCATTAATTGTGGGTTAACATCACCTAGAAGCAGCAAAAATCCACAAATGTGTATATACTCCATATGGTTTGTTATGAGGCATCATGGTAGCTGGTAGGTCTCTATAAACAGATTCCTCTATGTTATAGGAGTAAAACAGCTCAATAATACTGGGGGTAAGGGTAAGACAAACAGCAGAAAGATGACTGGACCTAGGGGAATTCTTATACACAACAGACAATGAATCTATACATATAGATTGTCTTACAGAGAGCCAGGTGCCATATCACTGGAAATATTGAGAAGTCTCTTGTTAGGAAATAAAAGTAGAAACTACAGAACTAGGAGAAAAGAATATTTCACTATAAACACAGAGCTCCAGCTCAGGCAAGGTCAGAAATAATGGGATGGGTGGATGATTAGAATAGATAGTCATTATCAGCTGTGCCTGAGTCACAATTGTATCACTAAGAGGATACAAGTGGGAAATTAAGTCAAATATGGTTTATTAACCTCCATAATGATGCTTTGATAATTCATATCCATGTAGTAAAAAATGTCCTGCCATTCTCCTAAGTGTGCTGTCTGCCTTGTCAGTTTGCCTTATTGCCCCTGCCATCATTTACTTTCATACCAACCAGGGATGTGCACTCCTGCATGAGTGATTAAGGCTTATTTATCCCAGCCCATTGTGTGTTGCTAAAATTAGTTCCAGGACTCCAACCCAGAGTAACTGAATTAAAACTACAAACTTCACACTCTGAAATTTGTTTTTCATAGATCTTGGTCCTCGGTTGTTTTATATTACCCCCAGCAACATAAAACATGGTCACCATTTTCACCACTCTCATAGTTGAATTACTTATTTAAATACTTATAAGTATTCCATCTACCAACAATCTCTTATGATCAACCTAATAAATTCTATGAACCCCTAAATGAAGTGTCATTCATCAACGTCACAAGTATACCGTTTGGAGCAACAGAATCTGTGAAACCCTGTAACCACAGCCATGAGCATACCTGTTCACCACCCACTACAAGTCACATAGTGTCTCCCAGTCACTGTGATAACCAACACAGTTCCACAGATTTGAAAATGCCTTCATGATTACAGACAGTATTGGCCCTCTAGACTGAAGAACTACAGGTCTCCTAAGATAGTAGCTAACCCCATAATAGATGCAGTGGCCCTCTACCAATGTAAAAATATAAAAGTTAAAGAGCTTGTGTCCCTGAATGTTGCTAGTTTGAAGTTTCCTTATGTCCACATGAGCTGAAGCACCAAAGGTCATGTCCTCTGTGGGACATGATGGAGAGGATAGGTGCCTAAGTCTTTCTCTCTGGAATTCTTATTAGACGATAGGTAGATAGATAGATAGATAGATAGATAGATAGATAGATAGATAATTGATAGATACTCGTTCAAAAGATATAAAAAGAAAATATTGAACTGTGTCTGAAGTGCTCTTGCAAATTTATGAAATGTTCTCCAGCCAGCTTCTGGTCTTTCCTACTAATCTACTACCAAAACATAGAGAAACACAGTGTATATACAAAGGCCTAAAGCCAGGCAACCAAATCCCTGGCATAAGCATATCATTTTGCATCTAAGGTGCTCTTCCTACTAACTGTGAACCAGAAGATCAGAGACTTAACCCAAGGCAATTGTGCATCACTGGTTTGTGGTACTGTCTATATACACTACACTGTGGGAGTGCCCCAGGCCAGCACCTTTGGTTCCTAGACAGTACTAGTTCTGCCTAATGTTTGTTTCCCTCTAGGACACACTGTTTTCCCTGAAAATTAACTTTCCTGGCTAAGGCAATAATATTTGGTTTAATAGCTGCCAATCTTATTCCTAGTGACTGGAGTTTATCTGCTATACATTAAAGCACTGAATAGAGTCCTAATAACAACAGCTCCAAAAGGCATCTTGACTTTTGGGCTTTGATTGGCTATTACTAGAATTCACAAGTGCTGGATTTGGTTCCTATTAACTTATATCTATTAACTCTTGATCCTGATACAGTTCCTAAACAATACAACTTATACTACCTTGCTGACCACATAGAGTAAAAAGATCCTTTGCTCCTATGAGCCTAGTCAAGAGGACTGGCAAAAAGTTCTCTTTTTCTAACAGCAACTCTATGACACTTCAATAAGCTATACGTGCCCTGCTGCAATTCCTTTCTAAAAAGAATGAGAACTGTTGAAGAAGAGATAAAGAAGGTAAGGCATTTACTCCCCATAAGAAAGAGAGCCCTGCTCACAGATATTATCAGAAGAATGGATAACAAAGGTGCATAAGTTCACTGAGCATTTATCTTGGGAGAGGATGGGGCTAAAGCTTCCTAAACCAATAGGGAACTATGTATTCATTCAGGTGATAAATAATTAATGAAGCTGAAAAAAATTTATATGCAGCTCTATGAGTTACCTGGATGTATAACAAATAAGAACTTGTTACCAGGAGAAAAGAAATGTTACCAAAGCTGGAAATTGAGCGGTAACAGGAAAGTTGAGAGACCCAAGTTTTAATGAAACTAGACGACAGGATTTATGTATAAAGAAAAGATGTAAAGCAATTCTACAAAAGAACCAAAGATGTAGAGAGAAAAAGATCAAATAACTAAAGATAAAGATTAGTAACTGTACTTTAGAGAGATACCCAAACAACAAAGTCACCATTTCAGGGTGAAGTAGCACTCCTTAAAGGTGGTGACTAAAGATATCCCATGGGCCTTTGGAATCTGACTAATTTTAGGGGATAAATTACCACTCAGTCACATAAAGCATGGATAAAATTGTAAGCTCTCTCACTCTTAAAACTCAAGGATAGCAACACCTTCATTACCACTCTCGAAAGAGAACACTACTGTATGTAAGGTAATCTGCACACAGAGTGACACACTGCACATAATTCTTAAGTGTTTCTCCCTTGCTGCAGCCATGTCCATGTCAGGGAATTTCCAGTAACCCAGTATGTCTCCCCATTCCTTGCAATCCTGCCCCCACTCAACATCCACAATGGGTCTTTTACCTGCACTTGACTCTCCCAGTCTAGAGAGGGGTTAATGACAACATCAGGGAAATCAGGCCAGACCTGAGGAGAGACCAATGTTTAATAACAATATACCACAAAATTTAACATGTATAGTACTTTCCAAGAAAATACAAGCTATTGTCCAATAATTAATAATACCTAAATTATCATGCATGTTTGATCTAGAATCAAGTGGATTCTACAAACTTAATTGTATCAACTAATGTCAATTGAAAAATGAAAAGTATGGACTTCAGATCCCAATGCAAAAGACCATGAAATAACACAAACAAACAAACCAATGTGTCTTAGGGGCTGCGCCAGGCTGGGAATTGGTGGGTAACCCCTTGGATCATACCTTTCCCCAGACAATGCCTCCATTATTTGGGTACTTGATGAAGATGTCATCTTCCACACCTCGAGTGAAGGCAGGGTAGGGCTGGGTCTCATTGCCAGAAATGGCTGGGTCCTGAAAGCAAAGCATAGGACAGGTGGGAAAACCACAGGCAAGAAATTAAAAAGGATAGTAAAAAGGGGGAACTCTTAAGATAGGTGTCCCAAGTTTCCATCTGAACTGTGAAATATCTGTTGAAATACAAATCCACAACGATTCTTATTGTCCTTCAATTCCTCTACTTGCAACATAAAAGTAAACACAGCACAATGTGTTCTCCACCAAAGCCCAACCAGTTCACAAACAAATTACATTCACATATAGACTAACCAGAATGAGGATGATCCGCATCCCATCAGCCTTCATGCGATTGATCAGAGCTGGAAACCCAGAAAACTTGGGGCTGAGGGTGAAGTCCAGCTGCCGCTCCATGTAGTCGATGTCTGAGTACTGCACATCCTGTGGGAGGACAGAGGGAAACTTAGGGGCTGAGGAGGGTAATGCAATCCAGTTCCAAGAAGGCAACAACCATCAGATACTGATGGTGAAGTTAAAAGGTTTCTCTCTGGCTCCTTCAAATCCTACTTGTGTAATTTGTTTGGAATGTACCTCAGGAAAATCATCTATTTTTTTTTCAAATGTTAAATCATAAAATGGAAACAACCTAAATAAGTAAAACATAGAATGATAATGTTTATCTGGAAGGACTGTTTTGAGGATAAAGACTCTGAATGTGAAAATGGTTTCGAAAACTGCCAAAATAAGGAGTGATTTCTGTTATTTCCCCAGGAGACTGCCAGTGGGATTACAGTGGTTCATTTCATAGAAAATAGTGTGAACTCTCCAGTCATAGCACAATACTGAAAGTAAAACTGTGTCAATACTGACAGCGCAAAACAGAAGCTTGTAATTACTTTGCAATATCCAATCTTGGGAGTAATTGAGCATAATTTCGTACTGATATATTGTATGACAAACTTCCCATTAATGAAACTGTTGTAAAAAATAGAAAAGTAAGTAGATAAACTTAGTATGAAAGTGCTCCATGGAACATGATTGCATCCCTCTTGTCCTCAACTGAAGCACAGAGTTAGTTTCCATGGGTACTTGCTGTGCAAACCAATGCCAAGTTCCCCACATTCAGAGCACATGGAACATAGTCCCGCAGCTGCCAAGCACTGGAACTGAGGACAGATCTCTACCTCTAATAGTCTAACTGCATTTGGGGTTCATTTTTATTAATTTGGAAAAATTAATAGTTAAGGTTTTTTCAGTACAGATGATTAAAATTAGGGCCTCCCAATGCCAGCCAAAAGCATTCCCATGGGTGTACAGCCCTAACAATTTTTATTATGCTATTTTAAGAGAAGATCTTGATAAGTTATCTAAACTGGCCTTACCCTCATATTTAGCTAGAATTATCCACCAGTGCTCATTCACTGAGGGGTATTTTATTCTTATGGAACCAAGGATTTTTTTTTTGACATTTCTTGAAACCATGTAAAGAAAATGGAAGGAAGCATGATGTAGCAAAAAGAGCATGGGATCATCCCTCTTGAGAGGGGAAATGGCTGCACCTGCGTTACTGTGGGCAGGGGGAGGCATCACGTGACATCATGTGTAAAAGAACTTTGTGTCTTTGTACAACTTCACAAAAGTCCAACAAACAAATCCAGACATAGAGGTGAATGAGTTGGCTACAAGATCACAGAACTAATACACAATGCCCTCTACGTACATAGGGGATCTGGGCAGCCACCATATCATCATACAGGCTGGCGATCTCAGCATCATTCTCATATCCATAGCGACACAGCTGGAACCCCAGGGCCCAATAAGGCACCATCACAGGCCGACCAATCACCTAGAAAATAGACAGAGCACTAGTCCTTGTGGGAGAAGCCAGATGTCAGCTGAGTATGCAGTGATAAAAATATTTCTCGAGTGCCTCAAGACAGACAGTCAACAAGTACAAATCCAGAGATAAACGGAGATGCAGAGCTACCAGAATACCTTTGAGAAAACTACTGTACTACAGCTCATTATCTAGGAATTGGGAACAATTTGGTTTTACTCTGATTCCTAGATTTGGTCAATGGTTACGTGTGTGGAATTCTGAGGAAAAAAAAATGCCTGGATTAGCAAACAGGCTCTATATCAAGCTAGCTCTGTGACAACGGCCAAAGTGAAATAAAGATTTGTGCTTTTGTTTCTTTACCTGTAAAACAGAATAATGGTAGTGTCTGTCTCATTGTGTTTTTATGAAGATAGAATAAGTCAATATATGCAATAGTGCCCTGATATGTAATAAGTAAAACATAAACAATACAAAAAGTTATATAACTGGTGCCACAACTGATACCATTATCTTCTCCCCTCACAAATGTCACTTGTCCTATCACCACCACAAACACAACATTCGACTTACCCTCACAGTCACCCCCAATCACCACCACCACCAGAGCCAGAACCTAAACAATCACAATCATCACCATCACTGCCATAACTATCACCAATCTTTCACCAACACTACCCTCACCATCATAGTCACAACCCCACAACCACTCCACTGATACCACGAGGGCTAATATCAGCATTATCAGCTTTATTCCCACCATCACATAATCACTATCACCATAACCACCCATACTAACACTGCTGTCACCACCACCACTGATCCCATGACTCCTGCTGTCATAACCAGAGAAATTATGAAGGTAATACCTATGGAAATGTATGTCTTGTGCTTAGTCTATAATAGACCTATCTCTGACTATGACCACAGTTCTAGTTCTCATGTGAGATTTTTACAATGTGAATGTAACTTTTAGAACACAAAACGGGCCACATAAATACTTGATTAAGAAAATTAATTCCCTGCTACCTCAGTGTACTGCTGAGTGACAAGCTCTGGAGTTGGGCCCAAGAACACATAAAAGTCCAGAATTCCCCCTGTGGTGCGGTATGTCAGGGCAGGCATGGGCTGGAAAGTCACATCTGAAAAGACAGGAAAATGAAAAAAAAAAAATGGAAACTTTCATGGGGAGGAATCAGTCTTGACATACATACTGTCCCTCTTTCCACTTTAGAGTATTTAAGGGAGACATTCTGTACTTTATCCACAAGAATTGCAGAAACACTAGTCCAAAGGACCCATCCCTGAATGTGTCCCCTCTGGTGTTGTTATCTTCTTACATATTTTCTCATTCTGGAATTTTAAATTATATAAGAAGAATTTGAGACAAAAATTTGCAGAAATATTTCTGAGAGTTTATGTGTACACTTTACTTAGCTTTCCTCAATGATAGCATTTTATTAAAACACAGTACATTGACAAAACAAGGACACCAGCAGTAATAAAATACTGTTAGCTATGTATGGAAATAACTCATCTTTTACCACATTTTATTACAGGATTCTTGCACACCCAATCAATATTTGCTCATTCATATATGGCACACAAGTTTTATTCACACTCTTCTCCTAGAGTGAGTCCTCCTATTCAAGCTATGTCTTCAAACTAATTCATGTTGCACAGCTGTGTCCACTAGAGCTTTGCAGGATATTTGAGAATTTAATTTGTATTTTTTAATGTGACTTTTGCCACAATAAGATTTCAGTTGTCTTATTATTACACATCACGGATTGAAACAAAGTAAATATGACACATTAAAAAAAATCCCCACAAGATGAATATTTCATCTAAGGATGAAGCTAGATCATGCACATTCTAAGGACAATAGAATATAGCCAGATAGATCCTTAACGCATGTGAAGGGAACCAAGAGACAGGGGGTGAGGGGAAAAAGATGAAAGATGAAGAGATGATGTGTTGTATATATGTACCAAGTCTCAAAGAGAAAGCTGACCATTATGTACCACAAATAGGTACAAAAACTACGTATCTATGCAAGAGTCTAAAAGATAAAGGGAGGGGAAAGGAGAAGGAAAACAGATTTAAAAAGAAATAAGATGTGTCCTCTATATCTACCAAATACCCAATTTGAACATAAGCACTATGTATTACAAACATATTACATTCAAAAAAGAGAGAACTGGCAGCATCCTACCCATGGAATTGCTGTTCAGCAGGAGCACACTGTGGGCACTGCCATCCTCCTCAAGTCCCATGTAGTAGGGGTGGACACCATACGAATTCTTCTTGTACTGACAGCCATGAGGGAGAAGGGAAATGGGGTTAGAACACATCTTGACTGATTAAGAAACTCAATAAAAATGTTTATGAAGATGGGTCTTGCTTTACTCTGAGAAGGAAGTTAAACACAGGATAAGAAGGTGCCAGCAAATGGGCACATTGGTCTACGAGCCCAAGGTGACAACCCAAGTGGCACCTGGGAAGACAGGCACCAAGCACACATGGGGAAGGGAGACAGAGGCAGAGACGCAGACCCACTCACTGCATGCTTACCCCGGGGGGCTTTATGAAGATGGGTCTTGCTTTACTCTGAGAAGGAAGTTAAACACAGGATAAGAAGGTGCCAGCAAATGGGCACATTGGTCTACGAGCCCAAGGTGACAACCCAAGTGGCACCTGGGAAGACAGGCACCAAGCACACATGGGGAAGGGAGACAGAGGCAGAGACGCAGACCCACTCACTGCATGCTTACCCCGGGGGGCTCGTCTCGAGAAAACATGCCCCATGTGTTCCAGTTCAGGTCTCGCCTAAACGTTCTGTGCTCCGTTTCCCCAAAACCATAGATGTAGGAGGAGGGCAGACGGGTGGAGATGCGGAGGAACATGTCATTGAAGGTGAAGCCCAGGAGCTGCGAGTCCCAACTGTACAGTGAAAAGGTACATTTGGGAAGAGCTTCAGCTTTCCTTTGGGGTTTCAGCGCCTGACTTTCCAGGGACAACGGAACTGCTGATTCCCTCCCCCACCAGCATCCAAAGACAACACAAAGTCTACGTGACTAAAGTAATCATAGACACCCTTGCTAAATTCCTAGGAATCAGCCTTCCCTCTTGCACTTTCTCCATCACTGCCTCCTTTCACTGCTCGCCCCCAAACACCAAAGCCAATCACTCGCACCATCTCACTGGCCGCCCTCCACGCCACACTTCTCCTCTGCCCTTGTTCCCTGATGCTTCCATCCCCTCATGCTTACTCAGTGATATTTCCACAGGAACCTCCCATTCTCTCATTCCTATATTACATTCTTCATTGGCCACTCATGCAAATAATATGCACAGACGTTAGGGCTGCATCAGATCTGAATCCACCGAACTTTCCAACTTCATCTCTATCACTCCCCTTTTCAAGTACTACACTGGTCTTCTATTTCTTGATGTGCCAGTTTCCTCCTGTGTCATGCCCGTACACTTGTTATGCCCTCTATTTAAAATTAGTAAAGGCATATGCACGGAATTCATAGGAACCTGTAAATGCCACAGTCCAAAAGATTTCTGAGTAGAGACGGAAATAACTTATTCGTGGATCCAGAAACAGACAGTGTCATGCTTTCACACAGACTATCCCCAAGGACTTTGAGCCAGAGTATCTGCAAGGAACATTCAAGTAACTGGAAAATCCAAATCAGACTAGAGGACACTTACATTATAGTGCCTGTACTCTTCCGGCGAATCACTATCCCAAATGGATTCTTTGTAATGAGGACATCATACAGCCGGCTCTCAGAGGTGCTAGATGGAACCCTGGGTATGTTCAGAGGGACTGGGACTTCATAACGATTACTGTTGGGGTCATAAATCTAGGGAGAAGAAAGATTAGGTAAGGCTATAGAAATGGCGGAAAAGTTCTGTATTAGACTTGACAATACTCATGAATTTGTCATAGAATTCAAAGTAGCTAGAAGTGATGGTTTTGAATATCCTCCTTACAAAGAAATGAGGAATATCTGAGATGATAAAGCATCTACATCTTCTGAGTTAATTCATTCTCAATGCATAAATGTATCAGAACATCACCCTGTATATGCCATGAAAAAGTACAATTATTATTGTCAATTTATAAAACACATAGGTGAATCTAGTTTTATACAAACACACACACACACACACACACACACACACACACACATCTTAGCAGATCCTTGACAAAGAGTATAAATTAGCACACTTTTCATGTTTTGTAAGTATCTGAAATCTAGGATTTAATTCACATAGCAAAGAATAAGGTTAGACTTAGCATTTTGTTGCTCATCTGTTATGCCTTACTTTTATAGTCCCTAAGACACTAACACATTCATTGTGCCATTGGTACATGACTTAAAAGACCTTTCAAAAGTCAGTGTCATATTTATGAAAAGGTCTTTCATTTTTATGTGTGTAGGTATATGAGTATTGTGAATACTTGAAAACTATTTGATATTGTGAAATGATTACCCCAAAAAATATTAACTATTTTGCTAAAAATATCATAGATGTCCTTGGTAAAAATTATATACCAATTAAGGCACCAAGTATAAGATATTATTTTATACTACACTAGACACTAGAAATTGAGGTTATTAATTTGAGAAATTCACATGCTAATTGGCAGTGAAAGAGATATTTACAACATTGTGTGATGTGAGTTGTGATGTGAGTTAAGACACAACTATGTAGAAATACAGTGAGATTAATGGGAAGGAAATGCTGACACTGTGCCTGGGACACCGAGAGAGTCTCATGTGAGAAATATAGACTGGGGCTTAAAAGTTCTGTAAGCATATTAATGGGAAGAATGCTGACACTGTGCCTGGGACACCGAGAGAGTCTCATGTGAGAAATATAGACTGGGGCTTAAAAGTTCTGTAAGCATTAACCAAGCACAAGCACAGAAACAAGATCAAGTCATTTTTCTAAGGTAACGCGACTCACAAAGGCACAGAACACTACCGTGGGCACAGGAAGATGCACATATTAGACAGAGCTACAGTACTGTCTTCTCAAAAAGAAGGGTAAACACGAGCTCAGAATACAAATCCAATCAACTTCTCTCATCCAAACACTTCAACCCATCAGACACCTGCCTCATGCCATAGCTCTACTGAGGACGCATAACAAACAACCTCAGACATCTGAGTAGATCACAATCTCTTTAAAGGCAAACTAGGGCAGATCCTTCCATCCTATCAATGATCTCCAATGCTTTTTGGAGTAGAACAAAAACAAAGTCTATCACTGCATGAAAGTTGGTCACTCGTTTAATAGATTTGAGAAAACAAATCGTCGACAAAATAGCAAAAAGGAACCCCAGGAGAGCTGGATTCCTGCAAAAGTAAAGTCAATATCATAGTCAGTCGGTGATCCCTGAAAGACGTGAAAAGGGCAAGATACATGGAGTTAAAAGACACACATCGCTTACTCACTTGTATACCATTTGGTAGTGCCAAAGAAGAAAACAAATTACTGATCTCCAAACAAGACACTGTTTAAAAAAAACCTATCCTCACTGACTCTCACATCCAGATCTGAATCCTCTGGAACACATTGCTTTCTCCGGACTGTAAGCAGGTACGGAGACTCCTCTACTGTGCTCACGAAGTTGTAGATGAAGAGGAGAGGATCTCAGTGAGCATTAACAATGTCCGTGTGCTTACCTTCCACACACAGCCACGAGCAATGCAGTTGGCCTCAGAAGAGCCATGCTCATCAGGGTAGCAGTCTATTTTCTCTGCATCCTTTATGCTCATGTTCCATTCCACAGTGTAGGCTTCTCCCAGGACAAGATTAACTTCTGAGATAATGGCAACCTGCAGGAACAGGTGAGTCACAGGGAATTTCGTGCCCAGACAACAAGGCCTTGCCACATGTGAAGCATTCATTTTAGGCAAACAAGTAGTCAGTCCTCAGATGAGAGTCTCAACCCAAGCAACATGTGACAGCACTTTCTATCATTCAAGTTTTACACATGACAGTGGGAATATTACAGGGCAAATATCACTACTCCTAGAATCTTGCGCATTATGCTGTGGAAAGAATTTGGTGGAATAAAGCCTATTTGAATCACCACTTTTCTTTCCTTCCCTAATTCCTCTTCCTTCCCATTATTGTTGAAGAAAGGTTCTCCGCTGCTCTCCCAAATTACTTCACTTTCTTGTTCTCCATTCCCCAAACCAGTGCCGCTCACTGATCTGCAGTGGTGAAAGGAACAGCATATAACAATTGCATAACCTGGAGTCTCATTCCCACTTTTCGATGGAATCTTAGACAAATTCTGCCAACCATTTATGTTCTGTTTTATCAACTTCCAACATAGTAACTTATATACATATTACCATTTCCTTAGTATTCTAACCTGCCAGGATCTTCACTTCTGCAAGCCTAGATACTCAAAATTTTAAATCCTTTCTGAATCCATCACCAATTCAAAATTCATATTTTTCTATGTAGAGTCTTATGTGGCACTCATCTTTCAATAGGATTTTCCTCATTTAACATTCTCATTGTTCTGAAGCAATCAGATCACATTTGAGTGATTATCATCCTTCTGCCAGTCTCTTTCCAAGCTAAATCATCTCACACTTTTCTGTCTGAGAGACTCTGTCCTTCTCATAATGGCCACAACATGTGATGACTGCCTTCTCCTTCCCATAATCCCGTTTCCCACCACAAGATCCCTTCTCCTTTCCAGAATCCACAGCATTTCTGCAAAAAACAAGTTCCTAAAATGTCCGCTTCTACCAAAATCATAAGCTTCTTTTCCATCCCACAATGCCCTCCTCTCAGGGGCCTTTCCCAAGACCCCACCCCATCCTTGGTAACAGGTGAAGTCTTTCTCCCCCACCAATCCAGAATAGCAACCTCCCTCCCATCTGCCAATCCTCTTCTGCTAACTATTTTTAGCCTGCTCTACAACCCATGAGAGCTCTCCCACCCAAGGCTAACTGCTTTACTTCCTCTCAGAGGCAGCCCCGCACCTTCTCCCTCTATCCTAATAAAGGCTTGTTCTGGTACTGGTCTGGTCTTTGTTTTAGGCCCTCTCCTACCTGACACTGTCCTACTATTCTTCATCATACAGCTCCAAATTCAACAAACTCAGTATCAACCATCAATATCAAACATTTCAAGAATTCTATCAAGTGACAGGGATTTAGCTAGCGAGTGCAAGGTCCTGAGTTCAATCCCAGTACAAAAAAAAAAAAAAAAAAAAAAAGAATTAAATCAAGTATAACTTTTTCATTCTGGCATCTCAGACTCTCCAAAATCTGACCAACAAATTTCCTCCTGGCCAAACAAATCTACTCTGAAAGGCTATCTAAGGTTCTTATACAAGATTCACAGGCTGATAATACAAGACTATTCGAAGTTCTTGGACTGGCTTGTTCTGATATCTCAGCATAGAATGCTTTATCAAATATCCAATTCTAGAAAATTGGACCCCATTTTAAGATTGCACAGCTCTTTGATGCCCCCTTATAAAACATTCCTAATTTCACATTTACTAGCTACAGTGTTAATCATTGTAGCATAGGCATGGCCATGAAAAGGTAAATTCAAGTTTACTGAGAGTTGATAGCCACGTGTTTTGCTCTTGACATAAAGGCCTGCCTCTGCAACTTTACTGCTTGCATCTGCTTTCATTTTTCTACAATGTGTTCTAGAAAACAGGCATATGGAGTTGAAGTAAGCAGCCACTTCTAACCACAAGAGAAGAAAAGACCTCAGTTCTAATCCCCTTGAGCCTCCGAGTCAATGCCAGCATCTCTCTACATTCTATACTTCTAAAAAGGCGAAAATCATGCCAATGTGCTACATTTGGGGTGTTCTCTCAAAGCTGCTGAACCCATATATGACATATCCTGCTTCAAGGCCCAGCTCTAGGCTTTCCCTCTCCATGAAACTTGGCTCAACTGTTCCAGGAAGCTTTTAACATCAAATAATACATGAGCTAACCTCTCCTAAATGTTAGTCTGGGTTAATCCTTTGTATCACTTCTTTGTGTACAAATTATGTCTCCTCCTCAATCACATTCAAACAATGAAAGAGTTCCTTTGGTCTTAGGTTAATTACTTTATTTGGCTAACAGATTGTGCTTGTTCTCACATATGCATGTTTTCAATGGCCTGCTCTTGGCAATACACATACAAAGGCCACATATCCTTCATTTCCAGCATGATAATGGACACATCCCCCAATGTATGTTTCCAGGAAAAATATTAAATGTCATCAAACTGTCATAATAGTAGAAGCATAAATCACCAAAATTTCCAGAAATTTCTGCAGTCTCTCACAGAAGGAAGCTCCAGTGGCAGAAATCCCTGTACCACTTCCAATCAGGGTTACTTAGGAGTAAGATTCCTTATACTGCTAAGAACTCAGACGAACTGATTACAACCTGTTTGAGAGGGTCAGGTCTCATATCAACTGACAAGAATTTATTTTTTCACCATCTAATCAAATCACAAATCATTTCACAGGATCATATATTCTTTGGCTTAATATACTTAATCAGAATATGTTTTGAAGTATCAATACCAATTTTTTTTAAGAGACTTAAATTTTCATTCAAGAGACTCTTACAGCCCAACGTTATTTTAGCACCAGCCATAAGTTTTCAGATCCCTTTTTTTTTGGAACCTGACCCCTGAATTCCCCACTCCGCTCTTCTGTATGCATCACTTCTATTGCTCTGAAGACAAAATGGGTGAAGAGAGGAAAACACAGAAGTGCAGAGAAGACAGGGAGATTTAGAGTGCTCCTGTTTTTTTTTTACTTGAACCATTTTATCAGATATGTGCCTCATACATACTTTCTCTAATTCTGT